GTGGTGTACGAGGCCGCATGCTTCAGTGCATACAGAGCTTTCTCAGCGAAAGAACCTTTCAAGTCCGATTGGGCTCCACACTTTCAGATGTTTTTTCTCAAGAAAATGGTGTTCCTCAAGGAGGAGTGTTGAGCGTTACCCTCTTTGCTGTAAAGATTAACAGTCTAGCTAAGGTTATGCCATCATCAGTAACTTACTCTCTATATGTGGATGATGTGCAAATCTCTGTGTCTTCCTGTAACCTCTCCAGTTGTGAACGACAATTGCAGCTTACAATCAATAGAATGTGTAAGTGGGCAGAAGAAAACGGCTTCAAATTTTCTCCTGAAAAAACAGTCTGTGTTCCTTTTTCATTACGCCGGGGATTGTCTCTTGATCCTTCCTTGCATCTTAATAGCATTGAGATATCCGTCCAACAAGAACACAAATTTTTGGGTGTTATTTTTGACAAGAAACTTACCTTTGTACCCCATCTGAAGAATTTGAAACGGAAATGCTTGATGTCATCAAGCATCCTAAAAGTGCTATCGCATATGTCGTGGGGTGCTGATAGGCGCTGTCTTCTACGACTGTATAACTCCTTAGTTCGATCCCGCCTCGACTATGGTGCAGTAGTATATGGGTCAGCGCGGCCATCCGCTCTTAAGATGCTTGACCCAGTACACCACCTTGGACTACGACTTTCTACAGGTGCATTTCGCACATCTCCCGTGAAGAGTTTGTATGCTGATACGCATCAAATGTCCCTTGAGAAACGGAGGCAGTACCTCAGTGTCTCTTATGCTTACAAAGTATTTTCAAATCCAAAGCATCCCTCCTACAGTGCCCTTCATGCTTGCAGAAGTTCACAACTTTTCGAAAACAAGCAGAGCATTGTTAGACCATTAGGCCTCCGTTTATTAATATCCCCCTCCATGAGATTCCCTTGCTTAAAAACACTCATAGGGTTGCTCCATGGGATGTTCTGCCGATTTTCTGTGACTGGTCACTTGCAAAATACAGTAAGAGGGTCATTTCACCACAAATCCTCCGGCAGGAGTTCCTCTCCTTGCAACAAAAATATGCAGACTACCTGGAGTTTTATACAGATGGGTCCAAATCGTCGTCTTTTGTAGGGTGTGCTTTCTATTCCGCCTCCTACAGCAAAGCCACACAAGTTGACTCTAGAGCAAGCATTTTCACTGCAGAGCTTTATGCTATTTTACTAGCGGTCGAACATATACTCGACAATAGTATAATGAAAGCTGTAATTTTTGTCGACTCGCAGAGTGCCTTATTGGCTGTGTCCTCCCTGATGCCCACAAAGAACCGCCTTGCACAACATCTACATGGTAAGATCAATAGCGCCCTGCGATGCGGTCGGGACATTAAGTTCTGCTGGGTGCCAAGCCACGTTGGGATTTTGGGCAATGAAGAGGCGGATAAATTGGCCGTGTCTGCCCAAGGCTCGTCTATAACATTCAATTGCTTACCTTACCAAGACTTGAAACCACTTCTGAGGAAATCTATTTTTCTCAAATGGCAGCTTGAATGGGATACAGAGAGCAACAACAAACTTCACATTATCAAGCCCGTTCTGGGCGTTTGGGAGAGCTCTTACAACAGGGAACGTCGTGTGGAGGTTCTTCTATGCCGTCTAAGAATAGGTCACTCCCGTGTGACACATCAGTATCTGCTTTGTGGTGAGGATGTTGCACTATGTGAACATTGTGGAGAGCTTCTGACCGTGTTGCACATTTTGTGGCATTGTTCGTCCCATCAACCACTCCGTCAATCATGTTTTCTCGAACTTTTTAGGGATCATCTCCCATTTCATCCCTCTTTTTTGCTTGGTGATAAACCTTTAGTTCCATTCAGCCGTGTCTTAGACTTTTTAAAACAAACTGGATATTTATACCATTTGTAAATATGTAGCCTCAAAGTAAACTTTTGTTATAATATGTTCTAAATACATTAAGTTTGGCGCATTATGGCCCTCGTTGCTGCTGCGCCAATAAACTCCTAATCATCATCATCATCATTCCAAAGGAAAATGAAGGCGTTGTTGAAGGACATTCCGGGAACGCAGGTTTTCTTGGATGATGTCTTGGTGGCAGAGGGCAAAGACGAATTCGGGCAGACGCTGCGGAAGGTTCTGCAGAGATTCAGGGAAAATGGCATCCGACTGCGGGAAGAAAAATGTGTGTTTGGTGAAGAGGAGGTTACCTACCTCGGACATAGGATCGACCGACATGGGCTGCATCCATCCGAAACGAAAGTGGAGGCCATCGTGAAGGCTCCTGCACCTCGCAACCTCCAAGAACTTCGGTCCTTTTTGGGACTCATCACATACTACAGAAGTTTCCTGCCTAGGATGTCTACACTTCTAGCTCCGCTCCACAACCTGCTAAGGAGTGAGGTGAAATGGAAATGGGGAAGAGAAGAACAGGCTGCATTCGACGGGGTGAAAACTACCTTGCAGAAGTCCAACCTTCTTGTGCACTATGACCCAAGTAGGGAACTCATTTTGGAATGTGATGCGTCACCCGAAGGCCTAGGAGCAGTGCTGTCTCACTGCGTGAATGGCGTCGACAGGCCTATTGCCTTCCGGTCAAGAACCCTTACCAAGGCTGAGAAGAACTATTCGCAGCTAGAGAAGGAAGCGCTTGCGCTCATTTTTGGGGTAACGAAGTTTAGGGATTACCTTCTCTGCAGGAGCTTCACCCTAAAGACGGACCACCAACCCTTGGTGGGATTGTTCAAAGAAAGCAAATCGATTCCAAGCATGGCTGCAACACGCATCCAGAGGTGGGCACTAACGCTTGGAGCGTATAAGTATGTCATCAAGTACAAGCCTGGGTCACAAAACCTGAACGCAGACGCTCTCAGTCGTCTGCCGGTGGCAACTGTCCCAGGTGGAGCAGAAACCGAAGAGGCCCAAGAGATGGGGGTCTTCACAGTGGACATGTTGGACGCCAGCCCAGTGTCCAGACGACAGCTAGAAGACCTGACGGGGAAGGACCCAACCATGCGGAGCCTACGAGACACGATCAGCAGAGGTTGGCCAAAAAGGCTTTTGGACAGTCGCCTTCAGCCGTACTGGCATCATCGTAATGCGCTCACGCTGGAAGGGGCCCTCATCTGCATGGATGGAAGAGTGGTGATTCCAGAGTGTGCACGGAGGGCATTTCTATTGGAGCTTCATGATACTCACATGGGAGTCAATGCAACTAAGGCACTGGCACGCACGCTGGTGTGGTGGCCAGGCATTGGAGCTTCATGATACTCAGATGGGAGTCAATGCAACTAAGGCACTGGCACGCACGCTGGTGTGGTGGCCAGGCATTGACCGTGAGGTGGAAGAGTTGCTTCACCGGTGCACAGTGTGCCAACAGGCGGCTCCCATGCCACCGAGTAGGGAGCCACTGGCATGGCCAGCAACTAAACAGCCGTGGACAAGAGTTCACGTGGATTATGCCGGACCAGTAGAGGGGAAGATGATCCTGGTGGTGGTCGACAGTTTTTCTGGCTGGATAGAGGCATTGCCAACGACAACAGCGACATCGGCAACGACGGTGGAACTGCTCAGAACCACCTTTGCTCGATTTGGCCTGCCCACAAGTTTGGTGTCGGACAATGGTACTTCATTCACAGGAGCCGAATTCCAGGACTTCGTCAAGAAAAATGGAATACGTCACATACGTACTGCACCGTTCCAACCCCAGTCTAACGGCCTGGCAGAAAGGGCCGTGCGCTCGGTGAAGGAAGGACTAAAGAGGGTGTCTGGTGGGTCCCTCACAACTCGCTTGGCGAGATGGCTCCACATGCACCGCAGAATGCCATCGGGTGGTCGTCCCAAGTCTCCAGCAGAAATGCTTCTGGCCTATCAGCCGAAAGTTCGTCTGGACTTACTGACAGCCCGGGCAGAGAGTCACAAGCCGGCAGGGCCAGCCAACCAGTCGCCTACATGGAGCCGAGGTCAGGCTGTTTTTGCAAGGATCTTTGGTAAGGGACCTCGCTGGCTGAGTGGAACCATCACGTAAGAACTTGGAAACCCCATGGCGCTGGTGCAAACACCTGGTGGGATGATCCGCAGACATCATGACCAGCTACGCCTGAGGCACGAGGTCAACGCACCTGACCCTCTGCATCAACCCAGTGAGTGGAATGAGGATTTAATGTTAGAATGGGGCCTATCCTCAGCGGCTCCAGAGACGTCAAGGGCCACCCTGGAGCCAAGCAAGGAGCAGCGTCCTCTGCGACAACGCCGACCACCCGTGAGGCTGGACTTGTAGTTCCTCATACTAAGTGTGGGGGAAGTGTTGCGGCCGGAATTGGCAACCCTGGCCAGAGCCGCCAGCCTACTTCCGGAAAGACGAACAACGGTCGTCCGCGCGCGACGCCATCATGCCGACTAGGGTCGGACGTCTGTAACCTGTACCCTAATGTATTCACGTTTCTCATCTCCTATAAAGAACCCGAGTTACAAAGCGTTGTGTTTCCTGACGCGCTAACACTGTAAAACCTCGATATGTTTTTCAGGGGGACCGCAGAAAAGAATGTATCATCTGGGAAAACGTAACAACCGATAACGCACTTGGGGTGGCTCTACACGAGATAGAAAGCAGCTCTTATACGATGGTTTATTTTATGCGTACTTACAGGACTGTTGACGACTCGGACATGTTCACGAAAGCGCGTAATATCCACCTGCCGCTTCGAATTAATGTTAAGCGGTACAACCCGTTTCTCCAGGGTGGCCCAGGCAGAGCTCCAGCCTTCAGGCAGCATTGGGAATGTTGAATGATTCATGAAATGTTAGCAAGAATCCCAAAGGCTTCTAAACACAATGGTTTTCTAAGGTAAAAGCAGTGTTCCGATATTTTCACTAAGATTTATATTTAGCATTCATATAATGCCGGAGAGCGGCACGTAAGGTGGGAGATATGTCGGGTTATGCCATCCAACTTTGACAATACTGTGAGTTTTAAATGTCCCCTTTTTTTCTCTCGTTTCAACAGGATAATATGTTTTCCTTTGACGTTGAGAAGGAAACATTTGCCCTCAAGCCTATGAACTGCCCTGGTCACTGGTGAGTTGTAATTGCACCTTATTTAGTTAGTTTGCCACCTTTTCTGTAACGCAGGCTGCATTACGTACGACTGATGTGAATTAAAAAAAAAAGTGTCATTCGAAGTAAAGAAATGATTCTCTGAAAACGAGGTTATCGACTGCAGCAGGTGCAAGTCCACTAATTGAATTCATAGATATTCTCCTCAGCTGTTACAGTTCAGTTGGATCTTCGTTATTGGTCAACGAAATATGGCGGGTGAACGATGCAACACACACTTGCCGAACTTAACGGGATGCAAGCCCGCACGGCAAGTAGCACCGAAAGTTCTCTACCAGGGCACCAAACATATGTTCACCAAGAACATATTTTATGTACTAAAGGGTTTGTCGGTACGACCCAAGCAACAGTTCTGCGGGTCGAGGGTTCGGCACTGAAAACTTTATTCTGGTTGGTTGGGTCCTCATTAGGGTGACCAGACGTCCCGTTTTGACTGGGGGCGTCATTTTTTAGAAGGGCATTTCTGTTGCCACACTGCTTTCTCTCAGTTAAAACCCTTTTGTCTCATTTTCGTGGTAATTTGTATGCATAGTTGCCAAATCAGTGCTAAGCGAGTAGAAGAAATGCAAAAGAATACCTAATACATTTAAAAAAAAATAAACATACAATAAAATTATTACCTCCCATAGAGTAAATCTAGAGCTCTTTCTGTGGTTCCATCTGTCAATACGTTCCGTTTACACGGACGTTTGTTCGGGGCACTTCTTCACATTACTATACACAAACTCAACTCTCCTACGTCACGCCGCGGTGGTGGCGCGTCGGACGCACTTCCGGTCTGGGGCGGTGGGCAGAAGTCGCCGTGCGAGACATGCATTCCTTTTTTCTTTTCGGAGAAACCAGACAAAAAACCTGCTTTCTCGTGAAAATGCTGCGACGGGGGATGTACCAAAAGAGTGTGGAAAGGTTTGAAGATCAGTTTTCATGTGTTTCTGCTAGCTCCGTTCGTCCGAGTACGTGGATAGTAGCCGTGAAAAAGGTAAACCAGACGCTGTCGAACTACGGTCGCTTGTGCGGGCAACACTTTGTGGTCGCCAGATGCATTTGCTTTGTTCCAACATGAACGAGAAAAAACCGCCAAGTTGTCCGGACCACTCACGGGTTCAGTGCGTCTTCAAATTCACACGGCCGCCTGATCGTCCGGACTTTCGTCTGCTCTTTCGAACTTGTCTGCTTTTTGTCGTCTGCTCGTTGAAACAAAAGCGGCCTGTAGACCAAACTTTGACCCGGTCATTGCAATAAGAAGTAATTGCAGGCCCCAAACGACTTAGTAGGCTCGGTGTAAACAGTACATACAAGATGTTGATTATTGGGAACAGTGGCCATCACCGACTTGTTATGCTTGGTCTGTTTCCACTTTCGAATTTCAGTATCAACGTCGATCATCGCCGCTACCTTGTACACTTTTGCCGCACGAGCGACGTCGCGACCGAAAATATCTAGAAGATTCTCATCGTAGTTTTGGTGTCCATTCTGTGGCGTTCACGCAAATGAATTGCCGCACGTCAAATTATTTACGCAAAGTTTAGCGGTGTAACGAGCCTTGATAGTTTCGCTCAGGCGATTAAAGTGGTAAGATATTGCTATGAGGACGTAGAATCGACAATTCCAACGCGAAAAACAGTATGCAGACTTACACAGACGCCGACGGGGGGATCGGTGGCCGAGTGGTCTAGCGCACACCAGCTCGGAGCACGTGGAGCGAAAGCTCGCGCTGCAGAACCCAGGGATCCTGGGTTCGAGCCCCACCCCTGCCCGTTTCGATCTGGATGAGCATCGTACCGGCGTGCGGTCGTGTATCGCTACTGCGTGATGCACGTTAAAGACCCCAGGCTAGCGGCTGTACCGCACTGGCTAAATTTCTCATCTACAGCTGGGAGACTCGTCGCCCCTGTGAGGCAGACCAAGTTCTAGGCTGTATAAACACACACACAACCCAATTATTACAGACGCCGACAACGTGACATTCCAATGGTTTGTGGACGCGGGACGCGGTGCTTCTTGCCCGCACTCCATTTCGCATGCGTTCGAACTGTCGTCTGTTCTTTCAAACTTGTCTGCTTTTTGTCGTCAGAGCGTTCAAACGACAGCGGCCCGTAAACCAAACGCTGACCCGGTAATTGCGGTAAGACCTAAGTGCAGGCCTCAAACCACTTTTGAAGGTTGGTTGGGGTAAGTAGGTTAAGTGTAAACAATAGATACAAGAAGAAGTTGATCATTGTTACCAGTGGCCGTCACCGACTTGTAATGCCCGATTCTACTTGAGGTTTTCAGTACCGACGTCCACCATCTCAGCTACAGTCCACGCTTTTGCAGCCCGAGCGACGTCGCGACTGAAAATAGCGAGCAGAATCTCATCGTGGGAGTCAAGTTTTAGCGCCCCTTCTGCGGCGTCCACGTGAAATGAATCGCCGCACGTCACATTATTCACGCACAGTTTTCCCTCGTTAGTTTTGCTGAAGCCGCTCAAGTAGTCAGACATTGTTAGGAGAACGTAAAATCAACGAATCCAACGCGAAAAAGAGCACAGGGACTCCCACCGACGCCGAAAACAACGCAATTCAATGGTTTGTTTATGGGCGACAGCGGGCTTCTTGCCCACCATCCACCGCGCATGCGCGGCGCCGGTGGCGTCCGCTAGGGGCGCTCCGGTTTGTTTGTAAACATGAGTTGGTGTATATTTGGCACGCTTTGTTTTTCTTTAAAAACTAGGAAGAAAGCTGGTTGCGTATTCAACTAAACTAACAAGTTTGGAAAAGTTTTGTATTTGTACGGTGAAGTGAAAAGAAGCAGAGCTTGCTTTTTCTTTTGCTTCACTGCTTCACTCGCCCCCCACCCCGATGCCCAGTTTTTCTACGCCGCAGATTACGGTCATTCTAGCCATCATAGATCGTGTTTCGGTAGAAACCTTGGGAGCCACGAATACTCCGTCACTGCCGTTTTGAAGACAGCGCAAAGTAAAGACTGGTTGTTACATTTCTGTGTGACTGCAATCGGCTGTGTCGCAGCCAACCGTTCACTGCTTGCAGCGAAAAAAAAAAAAAAGAAAATGACCGCATTTTTACGTGGTGAAGGATGTTGATTGGGGCGAAGCTCTGGTGGTGCTTGTCTGCGTAGACGCTGAGCCGCGACATGCCGAGCCTTTCATTCGTTTTCATCCATGTCAGAAAGAGAATGTGTGGTATGGAATTACGTATGCATTTGAGCATATGACCGCAGCGCCCTCTCGTCTATAAACGTTGAGCCAATGCATGCAAAGGTTAACGCGATTATATACGCCTTTGACCGCAGCGCCCTCTCCTGTATAGACGTTGAGCGGCTACATGCAACCTTTCATCGATGACATCTTCAGCTCTTGAGTTACTACCACATCTCAAAGCCCCCTACTCGTCCTGCAGTCGTGGCCGAGTGGTTAAGGCGATGGACTAGAAATCCACTGGGGTCTCCCCGCACAGGTTTGAATCCTGTCAACTGCGCAAACATTTTTTTTTTCATCTTTTTTTTTTTTTTTTTTTTTTGCCCTACACGAGCATGTGAGCACGTGCTCGCGTGCTGGTGAGCACATAAACTCACGAGCACCAGCAAGATCGATGTGAGCACGGACGCCGGACGGACAAGGCTAGACCCTAAGGAGCTTGGCCCCTAAAAATCTAAAATCCTTCCAATTTGCGCGTAACTAAACCTTCAGTCTAGTTATGCGCAGGTCAGTAGTGTTCCGAGGCTACTTGATAAATTGCGCAAATTGTCTCCTCGCGCCGCGAGTAGCTACGAGCAGTTGAGACGCAGGAGAAAGGACAATCGAAAGCAGACGCGTGAACCAGCCCCGAGTCGTTCTCTTCTCGCATGACGTGTGTCTTCCCGCGTAGCCTGATGTTTGACGTGCGACCGCGCTCCTGGCGGGAGCTGCCACTGCGGATGGCGGACTTCGGGGTCCTTCACCGCAACGAGCTGTCCGGGGCACTGACGGGGCTCACCAGGGTGCGCCGGTTCCAGCAGGACGACGCCCATATCTTCTGCGCCTCCGAACAGGTGAATGCACACCCTCCTCGAGCGCACTCTCCCTTTCACCTTGCAACAAAACCGCCGCGGATACGTCAGGCCGTCCTGGCCAATCCAGCGCTTGGACTGCGTCGCACGACTACGCACCCAGCCGTGTCCCTCTCGAAGGCCGCGCGACACTCGTGCGTCATTGGACTAGCTGCGATGGCTCGTGGTGTCTGTTGCGATGCGTCGTTAGGTGAAGTGGAGAAAGGCTTGTATTTGGCTGGCCACAACTCAACAAAGTCGCACTTGCGGCGCGGACGTAGACGAACAAATTCCTATGATGGCACGTAATCGGAATAAACGAAATGGCACAAAAAAGGACAAAAAGGAGACAAAAAACAGTTGGTACAGCATAGCCCACTTATAACAAACTCGGAAACGGATATAAGAAACAGATTTCAATTGCCTGTTACCTTTTGTATACCTGCAGGGCGACGGGGGCCAGTTTTTTAATGGAAAACATCGGGAGGTCCGCTACGAATACAACGAAAAAAGACAGCAAGATGCTTGGATTAAATGCAGAAAAAGCTATTTACGATATATTTCTAGAAACTAAGGATAAAAACAAACGGCGGCACACCATAACGCAACTAATACGCCCACCACACTTCGTCTGAGCGAGGGAGGAACCCGCGCTACTCGGGAAGTTTTCCCTCTCACAGTACGTGCAACATCCACCGCTGCGCACGTTGTGCGGGGCATTTCGGGTTTTTTGGCATTTCGGCGTTTCCGTTCTGCGTTTTCCCGTCCTCTGGACCCCAGCCCACCATGTTGGCTGCACCGTAGGCAAAACGCTTTATTCTCTCTGGTTCTGCTACATTACCTAGTACCCTAGTCTCGTGATGTGGGTGCGTATCAGCGTATCTACAACTGCATTGCTCTTCTGCTTCTCACCGTCTATGAAGTCCTCTCTAGTCGCGTATTGTGCCTTCTGGACTTGACCACCTTGCTTATTTCTCTCTCCGACTACGAGCCTACGCCAAAGTTTTTGCTTTGGTGGATACCCTTAGAGAGTACTTTGCCGGTGCTGAGCAGGCCGACTCGGAAACAGCCTTTTCCTGCATTTGGACTCAACTCAGCGGGCGATCATGAAGGCATCTCTTACGCAGTGCTTACAGTTGCGGATCGACAGCCACTTTGGAGTGCATTAAAATCTCGTACTAAAAAAAAAATGATCCTTTTTTTTATGGTTAAATATACTGAAAGACTGATGTAGCGACCCGATTTTGGATTCTCGCGGCATTCATTATAAACAGGCTGTACTGTACTAGTTCAGATGTGTCTAGTAATGTGTCGAACCAATTGTGAGGCAAATCGGTGACTACCATAATTTTGCCGGCTCGTGGTTGTCTGCTCTCGCAGATAGCGTCTGAGATGAAGGGCGCCCTGGAGTTCCTGAAGCACATCTACTCCATCTTTGGCTTCACCTTCAAGCTGAAGCTGTCCACCCGCCCAGAGGGCTTCCTCGGAGACATAGAGGTCTGGAACGACGCCGAGAAGGTAACCACATCCAAGCTTCTTGTGCCCACGTCGTGTGCACACTTTTTCAGTAATTAACTGCTTTAAAAAAATTTGCTCAGAGCAGAAACAGTCTACATTCGTAACACGTAGAGTAGACATTGGACTTCGTTCGCACGCATCGGGTCCTACTGTACCACTTGCTTGATTTCAATCACATTCGCAGTGGCAAGAACATTCCTGCCATATTTCATTGTCCTATGTCAATTCTGAAACTTGTTACGAATGTTATAATATGGAAGTCAGTGTATTCGCTTAGAAAAACTTTTTAAAACAAAATAAAAAATTTTGATTTATAGGTGTAATATGGTCATAGGAATACCCATAGCGCATATCCAGCTATTTATTTTGCTGTATTGCATTGGTTTTCATAAGTATAACTCCATAAGAAGAGTAACTTTTTTTTTCATGTCAGCGCTTTTTTTACAAATGTAGTTTTTGTAGCATAAAAGAATGTTAAAGAATGTTAAAAGTAAAAAAACTAACCAGCCAGGCATGTTCCTCACAAAATTCTATCCTTGTTTTGGGAGGAGGAGGAGGAGGAGGAGGGGGGGGGGGGGGGGGGGAGGGAGGGGAGGTCGCCCATGACATGCTTTATGAGGCAGAGGCACCAGCAAAATGAAAGATTTCGAGGGGAAGTGGGTGGGCCCCGTGCCCCCCCCCCCCCCCCCCCTGGATATGTGCCTGTTTTGGGGTATTTGTTGACTGAACTATTCGAACTATTCGATTCAAAATTATTCGGCCAAAATCACTATTCGCTTCGAATGTGATTCGGACCCAAACTTCTCTATTCGCCCATGCCTAATTCCAAGTGCTCCGACCCCTACCCTTTCTTTAGCATCGGAGGACCGAAAATATTTTGTAAAAAATTAGCTATGCAGTGTAAACTAATGAAACTTTCTGGGAATACTCTCTAGATGTGGGTGGATGTAAATAGGACATTTTTTCAAAATCAACTTCTTTTGCAGAAATTGTTTTTTCTGGGTAGTGTCCCCCCCATAAAAAGGCCGGTCACGAGGCCAACGGTTTGTTAATTTCTCGTCCACCGGTCTTTCCCTCTTAAAGGGCAACTCCGCTTCATTTTTGATATTTAGAAAACTATGCAGCCCTCTTCAGTATCATATAGGAAGACCCCATGTCAAATATTACGTTCTAATTCCGTCTATATATTTAATAAACTGGCCAGCAAGCTTTCAAGTGAGCCAAGTCGCCGAAATCTGCCAACTCTAGCGTGCAACGTGAGGCGCAATCGTCAGCACATTCAATGCAACGGAGTTGGAGCGGCCAACGTTGAGCTACTACGTCAGAGGCATGACCACGTCATTCTCACGTTTTGTTTGTTTTTACTTCTCAGAGTGAAATTGAACGACGACGTCATGTGTTTCTCCTCCTGGCGTTGGCTCAACGGCGTCCACGAGATCACCATAACGCGGATGCGCTAGTTTACGCTGCCCTGCGCGTTTATCGCATGTCCGGTTTCTCCGTTCCCCCACTCTCCTCTTTCGTCTTCTCCTTTTCCCTCTCTTCCCCGGGCGATCACTGTCCGCGCCATGCGAAGCCACGTGCCCGCGTCAGGAGTCCTGTACCTCACCCCCACGAACGTCACAAGACCACGTGGTTCGACGTGACGTGGCCATGACTCTGACGACATGGGACCAATGTTGCCTGACGCAACCGAAGTTCCGGTTTCGGTATCAGCTGATGATTAAATTAGGATTACACAAATACTATTCCACATTTCGCGAATCCGAAGACGTAGAGCTGTTTAGTAGTGCTTTGTGAAATGGAATCACATGTAAGCCTAAATTTTTCGGAATTGAGCGGAGTTGCCCTTTAAAGGGATGGCTGTGCCCCTTATTGAAATTCGCAAAAGGGAGATTATGTATTGGCGGTGGCTAATCCACTAAGCCATGCTTACCAGTAAACTTCCGAAGTCGAAAAAAAGAAAGGGAAAAAACGACGCAGCCATTGGTCGCTCAGTGCCATAAGCATCGCACCAAGATCTCGTGGACATCCTAACGAGAGAACTGCTCGCTCGACCTGTCTTTCTGTTTGGGAAAACAGTCTTCCTGCTCTGTATGTTGCTTGACGATCAAGCAGAGAGAAGGCAGTGCATACGACTCCCTTTGCATGGCGGTTGTGGTAGAATCGAGCAATGCATAATTTCATGCTGAATTTTTTTCATTTCTTTTGCAGCAACTCGAGCAGAGTCTGAACGACTTTGGTTACCCGTGGACTCTGAACCCCGGGGACGGAGCTTTCTATGGACCCAAGGTGAACTGTTTCTTTTATATGGTGACTTGCCCCATTCGGTGTTCACGATTGCTCACTTTGTGCCCGTCTTCCAGATCGACATCACCATCATGGACGCCCTGAGGAGGCAGCACCAGTGTGCCACGATCCAGCTGGACTTCCAGCTCCCCATCCGCTTCAACCTCTCCTACATCAGGTGGGTCCATCCGCAGTTCCCGCTGCCACGGCGGCCAGCAGTTCCGAAGCCCCTTTTTGAACGAATGTGTTTCATCGGCTGGATTCTCCGAGAAAACCACCACAGAGGACTGACATTGCATGACGTCATAGTCCTTCGTGTGATATCAGTCGTGTGACGTAACATTACATGATGTTGTGATCTTATAATGTCACACGACACATTACACACACCAGTGATATGTGCCCTGCTCATTCACAACACATTCTGTTCTCCCCAATCTTTGTCAGCATGATGAAGTGAGTGTGCTTTCTGTTGTTTTCTTTTCACTGCCATTTTTATGTCCTTACTATCTTCTAGTCTGGCGGGCTTGACTAGGCAGTTTATCCACTGGCAAGAGATTATCCTTCTTTTGCTTGTTGTTTGGACTGCCTGTTCCCGGGGAAAAAAATTAAATATTGAAGAGGGAAGAAAATGTTTACTTTATAAATACTTTTTCTCTTTTAGCAAAACACCAGCGTGCGTAAAAAGAGGTTGATACCGCTTCCGTGCTTCATTAAATGGGGAGAGTTTATTATTAAGTACTAGCTAGCTAAGCTTTTTTTTTTAAACTTTTAAAATTATATGTTACACTCAGCTCGGTGTCTCAATTTTAACTATCTTTTCTAATTAAAAAATGAAAACGGTAGCGCTAGAACGCTGGTACTCATTGAATTTAGAAGCGTAGGTACAGCTAGATATTTTTGACTGGGTTTTCGTCACCAGAGATATATGTACCGTTCAGACTTGTAATGACTGAAGGGCCGCACTAGTTGGTGTGTGTAAAAGTGCACCGGAAGAATGTTGAGCCCCTAAATGTGCTTTTTGATGAAAGGAGCTCATCCGTGATTGGTCTTTGCTTGCAGTGAGACTGGAGAGAAGAAGCGGCCAGTGATCATCCACAGGGCCATTCTGGGATCGGTGGAGCGCATGATCGCGATTCTCACCGAAAACTATGGCGGCAAATGGTGGGTGTCCCGCAAATTTGACCACATTATGGCGAGAAAAAGGGAAGATTGCGCTTGTTTAGGTTGCGTCTCTTCTAAAAGAATCAACAACCTAAGGCAGAATTGTCTTTCGTTTGCTCGATTCCTTTTTGCACGCCTCATAGCCCCAAATAATTGTAGACCGTAGGGTGACGACAAGCCGGGGTGTTCCTTTTGTATCTTTCCACGTCATCTTGCCTCGGCGTTCGATTGAATGCTGTCAGTATGCACAAATAAATTAATGAAAATTGGCTGTGACCTTTATCTCCGAAGCTCCGAAATTTAGGATATGCTGTAATTAAGGAGCAGTTTTAATTTTTTTAGAAGACATTAGACGGTAATTTTTGGGAAGGTGAAGAACCTATGTATCTTATCAACTTAGCGAGGACTCTGACCTGGTGCATAGGTCACGTGATATTGATTTCCCCGCCGAATGTAGCAGGGAAACTGAATTGGTGTATTGGAGCTTAACGTAGGGTCAAATGATGTCGACTTGTTCACAAAATTTAGTGGGTAAGCTGACTAGGTGCGTACTGGTCAAGTTGTGTAATTTCCCTGCAAAATTTAAAGAAAAAATTAAAAAGCCTTTCATGCTTTTACAATAAGAAAATGTTGCGGTCTGTTCCAGGCCGTTCTGGCTGTCGCCACGGCAAGTGACCATGGTGCCCGTGGGCCCCATGTACGACGACTACGCCCTGGAGGTGAAGCGGCAGCTGTGTGCCGCCGGATTCCGCTGCGACGCCGACCTGGATCCCGGCAACACGATGAACAAGAAGATCCGCAACGCCCAGCTCGACCAGTACAACTTTATCCTGGGTGGGTTGCCCGCCGTTGCTCGGTTGCAGCTTGGTCATATGTCCAATTTGGGAGTCTTGCGTGCCGAACCAACCAAGGGCAAGCACATTGATACTTTAAACCCATGTTGTAACAAAAAAAAAAAAAATTATCTCCATGATACTTTAGATTTATGTCAGCAACCAGCCTGCTGCATTAAATCCTTATTTCTAACTCTCTTTGTTTGCGTTCCGCGCATTGAAGAGCATGCGGGAAGGGCCTCAGCTTGCACTTTGTATTGCTGCACCGCAGTGTTCTTCCGCAGCATAAATCCCGTCTGCTTTCAGCGCCGTCACCATGGCAACGAATGCTGATTCTCCGAATGCCGTCTGCTAGCCAAAGTGTAATAGTTTTGTAATGAGCAGCCGCAGACTGTCGCCGCAAAGCGACGCGAATGCAGGCGGAGGGATGGGTTAACAACGCTTCCCAATGATACATGCGCCGTACGAAAAGGTCATTTGGTGTTAGTTGCCATGGTGACGGCGATGAAAGCGGACAGCCTTTATGCTGCGGAAAAACGCTGCGGTGCAGCAAAACAACACGCGTTCTGAGGCACTTTTACACGCTTTTCAATGGGCGGAACACAAACAAAAAGAGTTCGAAATAAGGACTTACTGCAGAAGGCTGGTTTTTTCCCGCACTTCATAATGTGACGAACGTTACACGAAAAGCGTGTTTTTTTGGCCATCTCGTGCCCATTTTTTTTTTTATCCGTAACGTGATGGGTCTAAACTATCACAGTGCCCCAAGGGCACCTGGCATGCTCCGGTGGAGAACTGGGGGTTAATTTTGACCACCTGGGGTCTGGCTTTGGTCAAGGGGAAAGCAAGAGCGTTCCTGGTTGCTGACAGCTTGCACATAATCTGCCGAAGAGACATTTTTGACCCGCTCGCGAGTTTGCTATCGGACAGTATTTTGGGTGAAAACCTCTCGCAACATACAAATAGTGGGAGAGATCTTGCAGCCTCTTTTGTGCTCGTCTTGGTACTCTTTCGTCCATTGATTGACGTCGGCTCGTGTACGGGAGCGCAACAAATTAAGATTTGCCTAAGAAGTGTAGTTTGTGGCAGTGCGACAACTTAAGATTTGCGTTAGAAGTGTAGGTTGTCAATGGCTTGCAACGTGAAATGGCAGACGATCATAATTTCAGCATGCGTGCGATCTCGCTTTGCCGCGGTGCTCGGTTCAAAGCAGACGATAAACTTTTTTTTGGCCTGTTAGCAGACGGCATACAGAGATTTCTTGTTTTTTTTTGTTTGTTTTTTCGCCTGCGAATGACGCTTCAAAACAGACAAATTGCGTTCTTCGCTCATGTTAGCAGACGAACCATCTACTAACACTATCTTTGCTTGCTCTGCAAGGGACAAGTCGGATCCCGCTCTTGCACTGATGGTAATCAAAGTCTGACCCCTGTGAACAGTAAGATGATGCAATGGACACCGTTCCGTGCATGAAAATGCTCAGAGTCAAACAACATAGCCCCCTTCTAAGGGTTGTTTTTACCTATTTTACTCTTTTTAGACTAATTATAGAAGTAAATTGTGTTCAGAAGCAGTTCTTTCCCAGCACCTGAAATTTGGCAGTTTTTCGGGATTCCTATTACGGCTTTTTGATTTCGTAGCTGGCAAAACGTCTTCTGTCTTCTTCAACGAGGTTTAATCAGGTAAAAGATCATCAACGCGATAGTTACAAAAATGCAGAGGGAAAACCCTATTGGCCTAGTAGGGTGGGGGCAGGAACTGTGTGCTTCTGGTTTTTCAGGCTAGGTGGCACAAGCTACCGCCTCTTACAAAAGGTACAGCCGTTAAGATCCATTCGTCCATGTTTGCAGTGGTGGGCGAAAGGGAGAAGACTTCCGGCACTGTGAACGTGCGCACCCGCGACAACAAGGTGCACGGCGAGTTCTCCGTGGCGGATGTCATCGAGCGCTTCTCCCGGCTCAAGCGGGAGTTTGTTCCCGACTCGGAGGAAAGCTTCTGAAGTGGCTTCCCGATCTCAGTGAATAAAGTGCACCGGCACAGTTTTACTTAGCACGGTGGCTCTTAATCAGTGTTTTGAGGACCCCTTCTGGATCGACAGAAGTGATGGAGGACCCCATTAACCGGAAGGAAGGAGAGGGTAATGGACAATTACAATAACGAAAGTGTAAGTGTAAGAAAAAAAACAACTAAATGCATGCAAGCCAACTTTGAGGCTCTGAAACGGAGAATAATTAATTCTTTTCTTTGAGTGCACATGGTTGAGTCTGTTTAGCTTTGTGGGTCAGCCAACCTCGACTAAAAAGGACAGTTCTACTGGTCGGCTTGACCAAGGGTCTAGGGCTTCGGGCACCTTAAGAAGGCCTTCGAGGACCCCGAAGGGTCTCAGACACTCATTTGAGAACCACCGACCTGGCAGGTGCCCTGTGGCGGTGAAGTTTTTGTGAAGGCCGGTTGAAACACTTGCATTTCAGTGCGGCATGGCGGGGTTGTGATTAGTTTGCAGGCATGAGTTGTATTGCCTCTTAAGGAAGTTGGAGTCTGTTGAATTGCTCTACTTTCGAGTGTGAAAGACTTGCGGCAACACCGATTGGAAGCGGTCGCCCGTTTGAGTTGGGACCTTGCTTGTTTGAGAGAAGTTTGGACTCTGAGCGGGTTGTTCCCTGATTGGGATGGTTTAACAGAATGGGGGTTACTAGAGCTGTACATTGGCACTGCCGACCCTATGTTTGCCCTGGATGCTGCCTGCCGTTGGTAAGTTGCAAGCAGCAATAGTGATTCGTATTGGTCTTTGACTACCTTTCACTCCATTTACATGCCACTGTGCGAACAAGCTTCATGGTAAGACTGTCCATGGTATTATCCTGCATGCGCCTTTGCGTATTTAGATATATCGCACTCCAGTGAAAATTTGTGGTCCTCTGATTTCTATTCTAAAACCTCGGATCCCCTGAACGCTGGGTGCGTGTTGCCTCGGTATAAGCTAAAGCCATTGTTCCGGGTGGTTACGTCGTCCGCGAGGTCTGGAGTTCTACCAGAAGTTCCATTATGGGAGTTGAGGGAAGCCCATTGCTGCAGACTCCTTTTGGGGCAAGCCAATAGACTCCGGGATGTGATCACTGCGTAGTATAGCGAAAGGACACTTCACCCAATGTATCTGTGTACTTTTCCAACAAAAAGCGAGGAATTTGCGCGAGCATTGCACCAAAAGGTAACTTCACTGCTTCGTAGCTGATGTGGTAGGCTCGTGTGAATTTTTAGAACTTTAAATTATCGCTTAAATGCAACGATTTTATCTTCGTATTGAACACTGTACTCTGCAAAGTGTGGTAATATTCTTGGTATGTTTATTTCGATCCTGCAGTTCTGTCGGCAGTAATAAACGGAAGTATTTTACGCATTTGCTTCACAAACAATTGCCAGAGCTAAAGCATTCGATTATTTAATGGTTTCGGCACAGTTATTTTTATGAACGTAGTATTTTTGTTTCAATATAAATTTTTGAGATAAAAATTGCCAGTGACTTTTTCGTGGATGCTGTACGAAACATTTAAACGTGAGTAATTTTTCTTATATCGTGGACGCTTGCATGTGTAACACTGGTACTGCACGAGTGGGTTGGTCAGAACCGTATAGGTTGGTTAGCTCCATTGAGCTGCTTGCCGTGCACTGTGAAGAAGCGACACCCGTGAAGTAGACAGATTTTTTTGTCTCGCTTCACTGCAGTGCACTGGTGCACTGCAGAGAAGCAATATCCGTGAAGTAGACGCCGCAGTTCAGCCGCGTGCTAAGAGGAAAAGCACTTGCCTAAAGCAGGAATGGTGCATTCCTGCTTTAGGCAAGTGTTGTTGGGGAAAAAGAAAAAAAAGTAAAGGAATTTTGTGAACGTTGTTTACCTCGCAGTAAAATTTGCAGATTAAAACTGCACCTAACGTATATGATGGACTGCAGTATGCAGGCCAGTCGAATGAATCCCTGGTCATGATTTGGTTATGCGAATTTGATATTTAAGGAATCAATAGAATGGCTCAGTTTAAATGTACTGTCCCTGCATTGCTGAATCAATGCGGAGCGCAAGTTCGTCTGCTAGCCTTTGCAGGGGTTGTGGCGACGTCAGACCGCCGAGCTCCAATTGGCTCTGATCGAAGGATAGTGGGTAGACCTCAAGGCAGCTTGCTTTGAGGTAATCTGAGCTCGGCGTCTTTCTGACGTCATTGCAACTCCGGCACAAGAAGCAGACGACTTGCTCTCGGGCATAAGGCTGTAAATCCCAAAAATTGCATTCCTTAAATGTATGATGCTAGATTTGTAGTTGCGCAATAGTGTAACAATTCTATCAGACTCCACATTGGACCATTTTACAAATTCGTCGGCTTACAGCACCAAGATATATTCGTGGGTGGAATACAAACAACTTTGCACTCTATCTGCGTACCACATACACTCGTCTTGAAAATGCATGTAGTGACAGCACTAGTCGAAATTCCTAAACATCGAGCATGTTGGTGGCACAAAGGCAGGGACGGCGCCAAAGGGAGGCGAGGGGTGGCGGGCACCTCCCCTAAAATTTGTCCTGCCACCCCAAAAATATGCCAGCCTTTACACCCCCTTTCCCTCACCCTAATTTTCGCGCGCAGACCCGCATACGCTACATGGCTCGTCATTTTTCTAATTTCCTCGTCCCATGGAAAAGGCATTGGCTTGAAGGATAGCCAGCCTAAAGAGGCCTCATACCGGACGTTTTCAACTTCTTCGTGCCGTCCGCTTTATTTTCTTTACGTAGCCCGTGAAGAACGATGCATGAATATCGGTATATATGGCTTGCCAAAGCTAACGAGCGTCGTCTACCAATCAATTCCTCTGTCGCCAACCATGAAAGACTTCCTGAAAGTAGCTTCACCCAAGTGATTACTTGAAGAGACTTGGAATCCCATGCATCTGCACTGCGCCGTCGCTTTGTACCTGCCAGAAAAAGGTACTCAAGGGCACTTTTCATATTCCGACCAAGGAAATCTCTCAAAGTCCTGAGACGCTTGGGCCGACTGGCGAGTTCCCAAGGGGTGGCTTTGATGTATCTTGGTGATCCTGCTTATTTCAAGTCTCTATGGGGTCCTTGAAGCAACTTTGGTGAAGGTGACTGTGTGTGCTTGGGAAAGGGTATAGGTCGGAGCCTGGCGGTTCGAGAACTGCCATGCTCCCATCATTAGTGACCCTGGGGCACGGAGCCCCTTCGAGGGACTATGGGAGATTATGGGTAGATTTCCCCGCTAAATTTAGCGGAAAAATTTCCCCGCTAAATCTAGCGGTAAAATTTCCCCGCTAAATCTAGCGGAAAAATTTCCCCGCTAGATCTAGCGGAAAATTTTTCCCGCTAAATCTAGCGGAAACAATTTCCTTGCTAAATCTAGTGGAATAAATTTCCCCGCTAAATCTAGCGGAACGATTCCCCCAGTAAATCTAGCGGAAAAATTTTCCCGCTAAATCTAGCAGAAAAATTTCCCCGCTAGATCTAGCGGAAAAACTTCCCCGCTAAATCTAGCGGAAAATATTTCCCCGCTAAATCTAGCGGAAAAATTTCCCCGCCAAATCTAGCGGAAAACATTTCCCCGCTAAATCTAGCGGAAAAATTTCCCCGCTAAATCTAGCGGGGACATTTTGGTCACAGGACCTCGGAGGGGGGTCACGTGACCCCCCCCTCGAGAACACGGCGCCCTCAGTACCCTTCCGTCGTCCTCCTCAAGAGCTGCGCTCCAATTTGGCGTTACAGGGAGTTGTAAACAGCTTTCACTTTTTTACAAATAAATAAGACCTGCCAATACACAGAGAAACTTCATGTGATATTAATAAAAAACCGTGGATCACGCCCGAGCTCGTCAGAAAAATAAAAGCAAAGGATAAACTATATGCGAAATTTATCAAATCTCAAGATTCTGCGAAATTATGTACATATAAAAAATACCGCAATCTACTGAATCGAGAGCTGAAGAATGCAAAACGTGAATACTTTTGCAATCTATTGTCTTTTACCTCAGGTAAAAGTGCACGTAATCAGTGGAGCCAATTAAACCAAGTCTTGAACTTAAGCTCCAGGGTACCGGTCACGTCAATAGTAAAGGATGGTTATGAAATTACCGGAGAAGAGCTATGTAATGAGTTCAATCGGTTTTTCATTGACGTCACAAAGAACCTATGTAGCCCACCTGACACGCCTGGTGACTACACATGCCAGGCACCAGGTGTCCGAGACTCCCTATATCTATTCCCAACGTCAGAAAACGAAGTAATTGCCACATTTACAAGTCTCAGGTACAATAAAGCCAAAGATAAAGATGGATTTCAAATCAAGCCATTCATATACGTCGTCGATCTATTGGCCCCAGTGTTAACTCGTATATACAACCTTTCATTTGCCACTGGCGTTTTTCCAAAACAAATGCAAGTCGCAAAAGTCGTCGTTATACATATAGGCGGTCCTACTTCTGATTTGTCAAATTACAGGCCAATTTCCATTCTTCCAGTGTTGTCAAAAGGATTAGAAAAAATCATATATCATAAAATTAACTCTTTTTTAACCAAACATGGTGTCTTGTCAGACAACCGGTTTGGTTTCCGACGAAATCGATCCGCGGAAATGGCACTCGGTCAGCAAAAAGAAATAATAATCAACGCATTTGAAGAAAAACATTTAGTGCTTGGAATATATGTAGATTTCTCTAAAGCATTTGACTTACTCAACCATAACGTGCTAACATATAAGCTTAATCATTATGGGATGAGGGGCGTAAGTTTATCACTTCTTCACTCCTACCTAATGCACCGTAATCAGATGGTATCACATAATTACTTAAGAAACTGTCATCTGGTGTACCGCAAGGTAGTATTTTAGGCCCTCTGTTATTTCTGATATATGTTAATGATATTTTTTATGCTCCCCTTTCAGTAAATATTATTGCCTATGCTGATGATCTTACAATGCTTGTAACAGGAAAATGGTTGGCGAGTTGTCTGCATGTGGCAATCAATTCCTTTCATACTTGCACCAATGGTCCGAAAAAAATCACTTGAAGGTTAATACTAACAAAACTAAAGCTATAATATTTCGAACGAAGAATAAAGTAATATCTGAAGATATTCAACTTCTACTAGGACAAAGCAGGATTAATATCGTACCAACGATGAAATGCTTAGGCGTTGTGTTTTCCGAGACGCTTAACTGGGATGCACAGATTCAACATACACGCATGAAAATGAACAAGATAATTGGTGTACTGTGTCGCCATAGATACTCGCTTCCGACAAGTGTTAAAATCCTCATTTATAATGCCTTTTTACTACCTATTATTACTTACTGTCATATCATCTGGGGAACAACCACAAAATAAAACAAACTCAAATTACTTCTTGCGCAAAAAAGGGCAGTAAGGCTGATTGCGAATGTCTCATGGTGCACGCATACCGAACAATATTTTTTCAAGTTCAGTATTATTAAGTCAACCTCTCTTTATGCTTTCAAATTGTTGTGTATGTATAAGAGTGCTGTCGCGACTAGCAATGATGTCCTGTTAAGTATGTTTAAACTCGAACGCCACACACCCGCATATAACATACGTCACAACATTGCTTGGTCATTGCCATTTTGCCGCACATCTTATCGCGCCCAATCATCATGTTATAACCTACCGCTTTATCTCAACATTCTTTTGCATAATAATATTTCTATAGAAACAACCCCCAAGAAAAAAATTGATCGATGTCCTTCATCTGTTAGATCTACATTTTGTGTAAGAATTGTGTAACTGTTCCTTTCACTAAATATGCATAGTGCCCCATTACGTTGAATGTGTCAGTGTACTTTTTTTTTTTGTGGAAATGTTCTTCTGTTCCTGTTTACTGTTGTCGTATGTAGGGGCGCAGGGGGCCCTCAAGCTGCACCACGCAGCTTTTTCCCTTGCGTCCCATCTCACAATGAGAGATAAATAAATTCCAATTCAATTCAATTCAAATATTGCAGCTTAAAGCAGTCCCTATAGTGGCTCCAGCCTTCCCCGCACTGCTTGCAGTTTTGGCAGTTTCTAGAGATTTTCCACCCGAGGAATCTGCCCGTAATTAGCAACAAATGCAACAATATATGGGGCCTGTGCCCTGCGCGGTTCTTGGAAATAGCAATGCAGCACTGAAATGAGCGACCCTTGGAAGCAAATGCACTCTCTCATGGCATATCTTGCACATTTGCATAACAGTTGGTCCTTGTAACAAATGCGAGGTGTGAATTTTATCAACGGGCTTTATTCAAAGTTAGCATCGCTTCAAGGCTAGATGCCTTCGACGTTGCAGAAATTCTAGTTCTCCACGCGAGATTTTAGATATCAGTGTTTCGTTCTAAGCCGCCCTCGAGGTAAAATTGACCGCTAGACTAAGCATAGTATAGTTTCTGTTCCTTCGCTTCATGTCCAAACGAAGCAGAAAGCTTGGGCTAGTTGATGGAACATGCTTTCAGATGGTGAATACGCACACAAAAGATAGCCACGAAAGAAAGCATACACATAGCGCTGACTTACAATTGATAACACACACTAAAGTTGCAAGTTAGTGCAGAGTGTGTGCTCCTTTCATGACTGGTCTTTCACAATCACTGGATTCTGGCTCCCGCTCTGCTGGGGACAGCCTGCCGAGGGAAAGTGCTCAAGGCAGCTGCAGCGAGGAGTATTGAGCCTGGCGGTGCCAAACAGCAGTCTCGGTGGCTGACAGCAAACAAGGTGGAGCAGCGCGAGGCCCATGCAACGCAGCATTACTCGTGACCGCTCTTTCACGCCTTCACCGACGAGCTCGAGAACCTTGGCTGGACTGCCATTTCTATGCATCTCCGGGTGAAGCGGCAAGCCGTAGCAAAGCGGCCGTAACTGTTCTCACCGCTTGGAAGAGAGAACTTAAAAAGAACCTTTTGTAAGTTTTGGAGTGGCAGTCAATGCTCCGAAAACAGCCTATGCTCTTCAAAGAATCTAAGGCTCTTGGCGAAATGTCAACGTCACTTCCAGTAGATTCCTTTTGAGTCTGCTCTACGTGACAACCTAAAATGACAGCAGAAACGTAATAAAATGATGTAACTCATCAATATTCCATAGCGCAACTCCGCATTTTATTCGGCAATAAAGTTACACAGGAGCCCCGAAATGCAAAAAAAAAACAACAAAGATGATGCCCACGATGTCACGCCGCCGGCGACGCCCCTACTTGTCCTCGTCCCAGTCTCCGCCTCCCGCCTTCGGCTTGGGTCCGCCCGCTGGCTTCGACATGATGATCTGGTCAACACGAAGCACTGTCGACGCCGCATTGGTAGCATACTGCAGGCCCCAGTGCTTCGTCACCAGCAGATCCAGCAGACCGGCCTCCAGTGCGTTCCCCACAGCGTCTTCCTTCAGCCCCGCCGAAGAGTCTCCCTGGTGGTGTGCCGCGCGGAGCTGAGCCAGCAGCTCTTCCGGCCTCGACGCGCCGGAGTTGTGTGCGAGGGTACGTGGAAGCTGTTCCAGCGCCTGCGCGAACTTGTGTGCCGCATACTGCTCTAGCCCTGGCAAGGTTTCGGCCCAGGACGCAATCCTCTTCGCCAGCTCGATCTCGGCAGCCCCGGCACCAACTACGAGCCGACCGTCGCGAGTGGCAGCCTTGAAAGCGTTGACGCCGTCGTCAACAGCGCGTTCGGCGTCGTCGAGCAGGCTGTCCGTCGAACCCCGAAGGAGGACGGTGGCGACCTTGGATCGGTGAGCCCCCTCCTGGCGGAAGACTACAACCGACGTGTCTCCGAGTTCGTCGACGTAGACCGAGTCGCAGAGTCCCAAGTCTTCGGGACGCGGCGGGGTTAGCTTGGGGAGGGGGGTGGCGCCGACCACGCGGCACAGCCGGCGTACGTCGAACTTGGACGTCAGGCGGACAACCATGAGCCCGTGCTTGTTGAGGTAGTGCAGCGCCATGTCGCCAACCTTGGCGCCGGTCACAACGACCTTGGCGCCGGCGTCTGCTACGGCCTTGACCTGCGACTCGAGCAGGTTTTCCTCTCCCCTGGAGAAGTCGCGGAGTTCTTGCGCCGACTGGAGGAGTACTGTGCCCTTGGTCTCCGTCTGCGTCGAGTCGAAGGCGCAGGTGTAGACGGCCACTTTGGCGTCGCTTGCCTTGGTGACCTCGCCCTCGACTTGCCGCTTGAAGACCATGCCAAGCACCATCTCGGAGCGGTCCAGGCCGGCCCCAAGCACCTTGCAGACTCGGATGTTGTCCACGTTCAGAGCGCCGGACTCGGGAAGCACCGCTTCGCAGGCCTTAGAGACGATGCGGGCCAATTGGTCCGCTCCGGCGAGCGGTTTGCTCGACATGGCCGTCCTGACCGCCTTTTCGGCCTGCTCGAACTTGCGTAGGTCGCGCAGTTCGTCGACGGTAAGCTCGGGTAAGATCTCGATCGCCTTGCGCAGGGCGAGTTGGTAACCCTCCGCAACTTGGACCGGGGTGAGCCCCGTGCGAACGAGTTCTTCGGCTTGTTCGAGCAAAGCGCCGGCGAAGAGAACGACGAAGTTGGTGCCGTCACCTACCTCGGCCTCTTGCATCTGCGACGCCATGACGAGCAGCTTTGCGGCGGGGTGCTGGACTTCGAGCTGGTTCAGGATCGCTGCTGCGTCGCTGGTGACGGAGAGCTTTTCGAGGTGGTTGATGACCATCTTGTTGAGCCCGTTGGGGCCGTACGCGGAAGCGACACTGTGCGAGAGCTGGACGCAGGCTTCGATGCTTCGGAACAACGCCTCGTCGACGCCTTGGAAGTGTCGAGAACCTTCTTTGAGCATCTGAGACAGCGCCGTGGTGGAACCTCCGCGGAAAGACATGGCTGATGTTCTGCGTCAAACGTTCCTCGGGAGAAGTAAGGAACCGAGCTGAAACGCGAGTTTGAACACCGGTTTTCGCTGGAGATTGCTCACCTCGTGTTCGCCGGCTCTGACAATGCGCCCCGTCCAAGATTCCCTTATTTGGCACACCGACACGAAGGCGCTCGCGGCGTTTTTTGCGGCTAGTTTCGACTTGAAAAATGACTCGACTACGGCCTCGTAAAATCAGTGACGTCAGACTCAATTTTTCGCTTGCTTTTGCCTTGACTTAGCTTAAAACTTGAAGAGTATATAAATAAGTGCGCTATTTTTAACTACAACTTGTCTTATTTAATTTAGCGTAGATTTATTACGCACTTTTCTAAGCTTGACTGTCGAATGAAACGCTAACTTCGAAACCATCCGAATGCCGCCATAAACTCGTGAGTTTAAACATGGCGGTCCACAAGAGCGTGTCATGCGGAGCAGACCTGCATTTCGCGACCGATTTATCCGAAGCGATCATTTCGGCCGGCAATGCAGGGTACGTACCAAAACTCGCGACGTTCCGGCGACAGGCCGAATCGGGGGACAAACTATACAATCGCGAGCGTTTTTTGCCGGTCCCACGAGCTACCTTCCCTATCGGCGTTCGACTTGTATGCGCTTTTTGTTTTATTTTTCTGTTTCATTGTCATAAGTTAGCCCACGTGCCAGTAGATCCCGTTCAGCCTGTTCCTTTTGGCTTTCTTCTTTGCGCATGGGCGGGACTTTTAGTCACAAAAAGTCCCTCGCTGCAGTTCGTTTTTTTGTGGCGACTGTCAAGGCTGAATACAGTTACGTCACAAACGAATCACGCCGAGCTGAAGAATCACTCGCCGGTTAAGGCTCAAACGCTAGTATATTTGTTTTGAGCCGAGATGAGACTCCATCGAAATATGTCTTGTCAAGAGTACCGGATACGACAGCGAAATCTATTCCTTCGAGTGAGACGCCAAGACTAGAGACGGCTGATCGCGACGTAGTGACTCAATAACAGATTATTTGACGTCCTAAAAAAAAAAAAAAAAAAAAAAAACATTGGTCACTCTAAAATCAGCTTTGTCATAAACGCCCCAGAAACATGTCGATGTTGCAACTGTCCTGTAAAACCAGTGACGTCTCACGATCGTTGCAGTGTTATGGACCCCACATAATGACTGCATTATGTTGCGTCTGTGTATTGCAAAAAAAAAAAAAAAAAATTTACCATAATAAAACTATGTAGTGTCTAGAGTTCCGTCCAAACGGAAGAGTAGCAGACGCAGTAGAGTTCCGTCCAGACGCAACATAGGGAGTATTCACTGGACGCCATATTTGAGGGCGATGTTTAGAGCGCATGCTCGGAACGAGCTCACGTTAACAGGCTGCTAAGACCGGCACTCTTGGTGGAGTGGAATGCACGTGGCGAAAGAACTGTGGAAGCTCGCCGTCAGCACGCGCTCAGCAGTCGCGCAGACGGCTATGGCCGCCAGTGAATACTTTCTTTAACATGTCCAGCAGAGTTCCGTCGAGACGGAACGATAGCAGGCCCAGTAGGGTTCCACCCAGAGGGAACAACAGGAAGCCTCGTAGAACCCCATTGGTTCCGAGGGCCTAGTAGAGAGTATTGTTCCTTTTCGTATCTAAGCTAGAGGAACAATAACAAGCTCTCGGTCAATTGTTCGCAATAATGCGCTGCGATCAAGGGGAAACATGGGAAGTGGAGACAGGGAGTACTCCCTCATTACGACAATGCGCCCAGCCTCTGGTCTTGCATTAGAATAATTGCCATTCCTAACTATAGCTTTGAAAATGATATCAACCACATTCTCTGTATCTGGCTCCCAATAAACTACAAACTCTTAAAAAAAAAGAATGAAAGAAACATCTTTATGGGAGGAGACTTTTAATGAGTATATGAGGTAATAGAGGGAGGGTGTGTGGTTTGCAGAGGTTGGACAAACTGTTTTCCAAGAAGCAGAAGAAATGTTATAGGATTGCTGGGACAAGTAAATTTAAGTTAAAAAAGAAACTAAATTAAAATTAACATGGGAACATTGCTAGTTGTTGCTTTGGAAATGGGTCGGGGGTGGAGCATATAGAGATCAACCCCCGAGTATGCTGGACGAAGCTTTAGTGGCACGTTTCTTTTTTGTCTGGACGGAACTTTAGTGGCGGCAATAGACCCCTTTCAAAATTTGTGTGTCAATTATTAGAAGGTCGGAACCCCTGCACAATGGTGGAACAACTGACATTGTGGAACGTGCAAGTCATTCCATAAGATTGCAAACTTCGGAGTGGGGCCAACGCTAGGAGCCAACGAGTCAATCAAACGCCGTCAAAAGTGGAACGTTACAGCGCACGTCACCTTTTTCTGTAGGTGTGTTTTTTCTGCTACTCCAACCAAACTCGTAAAGTGTGTCGTGATGTTGTGGTTTCAGTCCGCCATTGTGCAGGGATTCCACAGCTGCCAGGAGAGGCCAGTATTTCGAAAGGGGTCTTTAGTTCCCTCTGCACAGAACTCTAATGACGACTGTCGTTCCGTCAGAACTCTAGTGCTGACAATTGTTTACTCAAGACGGAACCCTAGCCACAGCCAAAAGACAAACTGCTTTCATAGAAGTGCAACATTTTAAAATAATATGAATGACACACTTTTCTAACCAAAGACGAGAAACCCTTCCAGAAACATAGACACTCCAAACAGACATAAAGACCTATTACAGGCACAATCTAAAGAAAACCAAATGAAACAGACTTCCACAGGAGGACACAAGTGCTCAAGAGAAATAAGGTGGAAACGAGGTTGAAACAAGGCTGATAATTCCCTAGATTGAGGGAAGAAGTCAGTTGCTGACATTCCTCAAGCATCCCTGTCCTTCATACCACAATAAGCCAGGATGTACCGAATGGCTAGAAGACGCAAGTATATATACCCACAGACTGAAGACGTAAGGTGGAACCATGCTACCTACGTTTGATTGGATTATCCAGTGATAACACATGCACGAAAAAGCGGCAAATGCCGCGATGTTGCGCTTTTAGTGCTGCTTGATTGATGACCGATTGGTTAGGACAGGTAGATGTCTAATTCATTATCTATGGCTCTGAAGCAACACAAAAAACTGCACCAACAAAAGAAAATATTGCAATGTTTTTGTTTTTTGTTTGGCAGATACAAGTTTATTGCCGTCGACATAAGCCACCCGAGATACCGGCAAGAACTGCTGGATCCAAATCCAAAGAGCAAGCCGACGCCCTTCGCGCGATCCGACCTCGTGTTGCCGTCCCAAGGTAAGCTCTCAAATGTGCCAACGAGGTCGTGAGTGGCGTCCTTGCAACACTGGCGGCTGCCTTGATCTTTTCGCTGCCGGCATTTTCTTTTTCGAAAGATATGCTCCAGCGATCGGGTTTTTTTTCTGAAGGGATAGCACAAAAAGAAAGAGTCGATGCGCAAGTTTTTTTAAAATTATCCGACGGGAGCACTTGCAGTGCTTGCAAGCTGTCCGGGTTGAGAGCATCGCATGGAAATATTGAGGACGAAAAGGTGTCGCCTCTTTTCTATTTAATTTTATTTCGCCTGTCCACTCCCGCGATATTCCTCCTGATTTAGGCTCCTATCCGGAGGTCCTTTATAGAGCTACTTCGTAGGACGATGAGCTCTCATTCAGCATTGTAAGTCTGAATCGGAAAAACCGGCCCTTCAATTGCCGCTACCGCCAGAGCAGCCGACACGAGAAATGACCGTCTAGTGCATAACATAGTGCGAACGCGACGTTTAAGGTTCCATAAAGGCATAACAAATAGTAACACCTTCCGGGGTGCATGCGGTTTATCATTTAGGTGGGAACTTTAAAATGTGGGATTGTTGCCATACATGTACGGCAACGACTGCCAGAGGTTTAATTGAACACTGGCGGGCCAGGTGGCGCAAGCTACCGCCCGTTACCAAAGGTACAACCGTTAATATTAATACATCCATCTGGTGATTGCATCCAATGCTACACAAAAGGGCGTTGGAGGACATTGAGGCCTTTTTTACGCGGAATAACTGAAGAGCTAGGGTTTCACGAAAAAGATGTTCCTAAAAAGAGTAGCGCAAAGGTGTAGCACGCTGACTTTAGTGGAAAACGTTTCCTCAGTAAATTTAGCGCAAGTTAGCATGTATCTTGAGCTCAGCAAATCGCATAAACAAATGCCCGGGGCAGCTCAGAGTACACTGCGCATCCTCTGTCCCCAATTTATGTGTAAGATTGAGATGCATTAAAATTTTTCAGTTTTGTGCTATGGAACTAGCTGGGAATTCTGCAACACCGAATGCCCAGACCTTGTAGGCCCGTTTACATAGTGGGTGTTGCACTTTTCTTGATTACCAGTCCTCTGGCTTTCGTCCCTGTTAAAAATGCTGGGCTTATATTTGCATGGTCTTGTTTAAGCACTCAACATACCTGAGATGGGTTTTTTGCAAATGTCTCTAAGTGACGTCAGACCTGATAAGAGGAAACTGCTGCCATTTTTATGGTTTTATGAACACACCACTGATTGGCTCGCTTGTACTCATTTGGTGAACAGCAGAATTACTCCCCCCCCTTCCCCCCCCCAACGACAACGGTTAATTAGATAAGAAAAAAAAAACAAAAAAAACAAAGGGACTGTGTCTTTGCACTTGCTCCTTGGCCCTTCTCCCGACTACTGTCACGCAGTCGGGAGAACTTCTAGTTTATCTTGCAAATTCAGACTTTTGTGTCCATGCTTTCATACCGACTGGTGAAAGGCACAACGATGCAAGTTTCTTTTTTGACGGCACGTAGAATGTAGTCACTTTTAAGTCGGAAAGAGCAGGGCAACATGAGCTTGATTTGACTGCATTGTCACGAGGCAGTGAAGTTGTCTTTACTTCTCCAATGTGCAGACTGGAGCTCCCTGGTGGTCCTAAAGGTTTCTCAGTGGATAGACGTTGATTCGCCCAACGAGACCACTCGGAAGATGTCAGAAAAGGTCAGTTCCCACAGTGTCTCTAATCCTCGAAGAATGCCTACAGCCTCGGGTGTCGTCTTACAGAGCTTCAGGTTAGGACGACATAGTTTGGACTGACGTCTTCGTCTTCCAGTCGTCAGAAAACTTTGCGCGATTTCACTGTAGAGTGTCCGGCAAGCTTGGGACATTCATGTCTGAAAGTTTCTTTGTGATCTTTTCTTGATTCCAGGTGGATATTTGATACCATTCTGGAATTTCCTTTTAATGCGGAGAGCAAGTCGTCTGCTTCTTTTGTAGGAGTTGCCGTGACTTCAGAAAGACGCCGCACTCTGATTGGCTCTGAATGAAAGATAATGGGTAGACCTTAAGGCAAGCTTACTTGAGGTCTACCCACTATCATTCATTCAGAGCCAATTGGAGCTTGGCGTACTGACCTTACCACGACCCTTGCGAAAGAAGCAGACGAACTTGCACTCCGCATTATTTTTCTATAGCACTTAAAAAGTTGCCATCAAAAGGAATAGTATTTTGCAACGTACAATACTATGTTTCACCTTGCGATGGACCGCAGCATTCGCTCCCAGCGAATCCAACCCTGCGAGCGTATTTCGTGGCAATGCACCCGCACTTTGCTGCACCCCTCACGAAGGTCACGCGACGCCCGGAAGCGTTAGTTTGGCTTGGGTGGCGTGTAGCGTCCGTCACGCATTCACTGTACTTGGTTTCACCGCAACTTGGCAGAGAGCGAACGCCCCGACTTCCTCGAGACAGTCGAAGCGACAGAGGCAAAACACGTGACCGTCTTTGCCAAAGGTACGGGGGCGACAGTTTAACGTGAGTTGGAGAAGGGAGGAAGAAGGAACTCCTAATTTATCCAGACCCTCTTTTGTGTGTCCCATACGACGCTTTGTCCCCCTAGAAGGTTAGCCGGTCACTCGAAATTCGTACAAGAACGGCTTGGACAGCACTGCCCGCAACTAGTGAGATGGCGCCACAAGTCTCCCGCCGACATGCTGATAGCCTCACTAAAACCGTAGCCTTCGCCATCTGCCAAGTCACGGTGAAAAGGAGTAGCATCATCATCATCATTTATTTTGCTCAAGTTTGCAAAAGTTAATACATGAGAGAGTGGACATGCATGTAAATATATAAATATAAAAAGCGACAAATGCAACAGTAACATAATACTAGAATGCTGTAATCCCATTTGAGGTGTTAGAGAGGAAAAGGGTTGTAGCTGTTGTAAATGAACAAGTTGGATAGTGCATTTCAGTCTTTTACTGCCGATGGTAATGTAGGCATTCGATAAGAGACTGTGAACGAAGAAATTTTTACGTAATTTAGGGGAATGGTCAAGACGGGGGAAAAGTATGGTGAGGAGGTATTAGTAACGATTTTCTGAAGTGGCTGATAGGGTGATAAAAGATTGGGTGAAGAAAGAGGCGGGATACACGGCGGTGGAGAGAAAGTGTGTCTAGGTTAGCTCACTGGCATAGCACGATTGTTCCACATTAACCTATACAAATGGAAGTGGTGGTGTAGCGTCGCTTCCTGTACATTTCTAAATGTGCCCCAAGATTCCTAAAGGTGTCACCGAAGGAACGTGACTCGCGCAGGTGTTGGAGAGAGAGCTGTGCTACGCCGCGCACGTCGGCGTGCCGGCTATCATCATCAACCTGAAGGGACCCCGCTGCATCAACATGGCCAGGTTACTTCACAACTACCTCCTAGTCTCCACGTCTTACCAGGTAAACGCATCTTTCTTGTCACCGACCATTGTCTATTCAGCCCTCTACCAAAGAGTGCTTTGTGCATTGGAACGAAATGTTTCTTTTCTAGAGTGTTTTTTAACGTGGAATGTGTTTTATCAGTCTAATTCTGTGAGAAAATCATTGCAAAGGAGCATGATGCCGTGATGCCACATGATGCCACATGATGTTGTGTGATGTCACAGTCAAGTGACCTTATGACATCATGGGGCGTCTCACACTCGTAGCGTGTGCCCAGCTCGTATGCCCAGTTTTTGTCAACGTGTTTTGCTTTTTAACACAGGATGCATTTAAAGGCTGGGAACCCTGAGGAAAGTAGGATGGAATGCCACCGAAACTGTTACGAAGCATGTAACAGATACTTCAGAAGACAGTCTGAATAAACGAGCGATAAATTGAGAGAAAAAAATTAAATTCTGAACGCGCCCTAACAGTAATTGGACCAATGACCTTGTGATTGCTAGCTCGACGTTCTACCACGGAAAACACCGTCACGAAAAAAAGGACAGAGTTTGGTATAAAATAGGCAGTGACTATTTCAATGTCCACATTCAATATAATTTTAAATATTATTTTGATGTCCATGATGCCACTTCCTGAAGACGTGACAATATTTTCAAAATCATTTTGACGTCGGCCATCAAAATATTTGTTTTTCTTTATTTTGATGTCTCAAACCTCCAACTTTGGAGCTTCGGAGTTCGGACTGGAAAGTGATTGAATGTGGCGGTCAAACGAATATCATTTTGCTTGCTGGTGGCATTGCGGTTCAACACAAATTTTCCGAAAACAAAGGCCGTGCAGTCTATCACAGTTTTTATTACCTTATAAAAAAATAAAAAAATCTTTTAAAAGCACTACATGAGCTACCAGGCTGCACATAACATTTGTGGTTGTGCCCAACGTTACAGATTGCAGCACCGTTGCTTTTTATTATTTATTTTGCATGTTTTTATATAAACAAAGGAGCTGAATCTTGTATCATAAAATTTGCAGTTGATTGGGCTACAAATTTGTTGTTGTAAAATGCGTGTATCTATCTGTACAACTGTGTCAGAACCTTTGTTTGTACGCACCAGTCAAGAAACATCAAGGAGGCAATGTTTGCATTCAGAACCTTTTATTTAACATCCCAAACATTTCATAGTTAACTCGCTTCTTATACACAAACCAAAAAGGAAATCTAAACTAACCTACTCACAAAAGCCAGTTAATAACAGGGCGGGAGCCAAATGCAATGCGACACTTTGCAGCCATACGAAGACACGCTCGCACGCTATGGAGGCACAAAAAGCGTGCCAAATTTCTCAATGTTACATGGTGTATGCACTTACGCTTGTTACGTGCAGGCAAGACAGAGGGTTATCCAGCTTGCCTTTGTTTTGTATTAAAAATTTAAGTAAGGCGCGTGCCGAAATGACGTAGGAGAGCGCCGGGCGTGTCACATCCGAAAGCATCAGCTGTCGAGTCACTCCCACACATACGCTGAATAAGATATTTCCACCGCCAAGTAGGATCGAAGCTTCTTAGGCAAGCAACACAGGACTCCGTCAACGCATCAACACAACCCTGACAACACCATCAGAAACTAAGCTAAACGAAACTATGAAACGGCTACCACTGCGACTGCTGCATTGACGGGTTAGGTCGAAATTATAAAGCCGCTTCACTTTGACGTTTTGCAGGAGTGACGTCGCAGACATCAAAATAATTTGTGAAATATTTTGACGGTGCACGTTGAAATAGTCACCACCTATGAAATAACATGCTCTACGAAGGATAAATAAATAAAGAATCTGCAATGTTTACCACAAACTCCGAAGAATGCCACGAAAATGCATGCTGAATATACCGCCTCTATCCTGTGGGATTGAGGTGAACCACGCATCTCTTGCTTTCGCTCACATTTGCAGAATTTACCAGTGTTACCAGCAAGCCACGAATTACTCCCCTGACAAAAAATAGTTTGGTCTGTCGAGGAACGGATTCTTGTGACTCGCCTCTTACAGAAATGACAGTCGCTTTCACGTGTCCCTTACTTGTTTGGGTGTTTCCCCTGAATCAGTACTCCAAGTTTTCAAGGAATTAGGGTGGAATGAGGTTTACCAGTAGATACTACATCATTGCATTGTTTCATTGACTCGTGTCTTGAAACGACGCAAGCGCCATTTTTCAATTCTCAGTTCTGTACTCTGTTTCAGGCTAACTTGGCGAACTGTGGAGGCTAGGGCCCCATGACCCAATAAGAGCGACGAAGTGAGGCACATGACCCGACATCACGGGAGCATTTTTGTCACTATGCCAAATGAGAGCCGCGAGGCCCAGAGGAACTGGCTAACCAAGTGTTGTCTGCTCCGAAACCAACTGACTTCGGATGAACGTCCACCGCAGCAACATTTCCATTTGCTAGAATAGCGAACATTTCGTGAACAGTTCATGAGACAACCATACGCTCAATTTAGCCGCGAATCTGTGACGGGTGCTAATGCCAGGGCACAGTGCAATGTAGTACCAAGTGGAAACAGCTGATTACACGACTGCGATCGCCGGCAATCACCAACAACCACGGCGCTACAAGGAGAAAAAAAAATTGGGAGTGGATTACTTTTACAGCGAAGCTGTTTATGGCTAGGGTTCCATAGATTTTTCGCGTGCAGTTACTAAACACTCTACGCTCGCACCGCCGCACATACGCGCTTTCCCCATATAAAATAATCAAAGTAAATAACCAAAATAAATCGTTGACGAACGCACATACAAGATGCCATTTGTTTAATTAAGCTTTTGCTTTATAACAGTTACTGCTGCAGACGCCAGCATGTGCGGCACGTGGAACACCATTCCCTGCATTTTCTTTGGTCTATTCAGTAGATCAGTTATCAATAGGGGCCATTTTCAAAATCAGTAGACCCTCAGGTAGACAATAAAGGTTTCTCAAAGATTTGCCGCTGTGCGACCTGTGTTGGCCATGTCTACGCTTGCACCACCCTCTCTTTGTCGTCGTTCCAAGCGCTTGCTGCGTAGTTTCCTTTCCTTCTGCTCTCCTGGAGTGGCGGTCCCGTCGCGCGTGTCTATTTTCCACTGGGCTGGTGGTCCCATCGTGCGTGTCTAGTTTCCTCTGGCTCCTCGGGGCGGGTCTGTGTCGTGTGCTGAACAGCTTCGCTGGTCATCCACCTCCACAGAGTGGACTGGCTCAGGATTTTTTTTTTTTTGTTTAAATATAATTGAAACTTATAAATTTTGATTATTTATTCTTTAATCTTTGTATCTTCTCATTGAAGCGTGCAAGTTCAATTGCCGTTAAAATAAAATAAAAAAAATTAAAGACGTTGACGATTTCCTGTAATGCCGAATTAGAGCGCAGCTCTTGAGGAGGAGGAGGGGAGGGCACATAGAGAAGGGTATGCCCCTCCTCCTCCATTCCCTCTCCTCTCATTCCCCTTCCTTCCTTACTCCCCCTCCTCCTCTCTCTGCCTCCCTCGTGACCCTTGTGACGTCACTCGTGAAGGTCTTGACCTTCACAAGACCTTCACTGTGAAGGTCACGTTTCTGGCTTGAGCAGCGTGACCTTCACTGTGAAGGAGAAACGGATTCCTAAGAGCTGCATTCTAAAAGAAGCGAAGAACTACTTTTTGTCGTGGACAGTGCTGTTGCTGTGGCGATAACCAGGCACCCGTGGCCTCAACCATGGAGTGTTATCACGAGCCTTGCTCCGGCGCTCTTATTGGGTTGCGGGGGCTGCAGCCTCTACGGCTTGCCAAGTTATCGTGAAAGGGAGTATAGGAGTGACGAGACGACAATTGTATTGGCAGCACTGAGAGTTTCAAACGCGATCTGGAATGCTTTTTGCTATTTTTATTCTTTTTTTCTTTATTCAGGTACCCACTTTGCCATCAGGCATTACAGTGGGGGGGGAGGGGAACAAACAATATACAGACACACTAAAAAATTTGCACATTCAGTGTGTGAGAAACGGCGGCATTGGAAGCTATTGAGACAATGCGCGATAAAAGAAAGTTCCAATCGCGCGCGGTCTCTACAAAAAAGGAGTGTCGCAGTACGTCGCCCCTAAAAGGAATTTCTCTTAATTTTTAAAGCATGGTCGTTCCTACTGGATACGTAAAAAGGCACTTTCATATATTTATCCTTTCCTATACCGGTTTTACCATAATAAATATTCTGTAAAATACCGAGCAAGCATCTCGCATCGCATTCGAAGCTTCCACCGGTGCTTGCATAATTGTCGACTCATTGCTGCCAAAATCGCTCGCTCGGTGTTCCACGTGATAGCTATCATCTGTTGCAACACAAGATCTGCTGTAGAAGCTGTGCGTGCTCACTCGATGGCTGTGCGCAGAGACTCTGAAACATTGTCGAAGGTAGAAAGCTCGCACTGGAAAATGGTCTAAGATATATATCGGTGAGAACACGCAGCACGGTGAACACTGCGACGCGATCGACCAGAAGATCTGTGCAACGCGCAAGTTTGTCTGCTTTTTTAGCAGGGGTTGTGTTAACATTAGAATGCCGAGCTCTGATGGGCTCCGATTGAAGGATGGTGGGTAGACCTCAAGGCAGCTTGCTTTTAGGTCTACCCACTATCCTTCAATCGGAGCCAGTCAGAACTCGGCGCTCTGATGTCCCCACAACCCCTGCAAAAGAAGCAGACGAACTTGCGCTGTACATTGGCGCGCGGTTGAGTAGCCTAGGTCGACAGCATCTCTGCCGTCCAGACGGAGCAACTAAGAAAAAAAAAAAAAGCTAGGGGAAAAAGAAACGAACAAAACAAATAAAATTGTCTGGTACCCATGGCACTCTTTCCACTCGGAGCATCTCTCTGACCCTGACAGATGCTGGCTTGGGAACCGTGTCAGGGATCTCTCCGCTTCAACGCTTTCATAAAGCTGGTATTGCTGCCGTTGAGGCAGGGAATTAGGGTCAGTGACTAAGCGTTGTCTAAGCAACGCGTATAGCGCAAG